ATTTCACTTCTGGGTATTTACACAAAGCAGGTGAAAGCAAGGACTTGGACAGGTATTTGCTCACCCACGTTCACAGCGGCATTGTTTACAGAAGCCGAAACATGGAAGCAAACCAAGTGTCCATCAACAGATGAATGAATAAACAAAATGTGGTGTATATACACAATGGAACATTATTCAGTCTTTAAAAAGATGGGCATTCTGACACATGATACAATATGGATACACCTTGAAAACATTATGGTGAAGGTAATAAGCCAGACGTGAGAGGACAACCATTATGTGATTCCACTAATGTGAGGCATGTAGTTTAATCAAATGAATAGAGATGGAAAGTAGATTAGCGTTTGCCAGGGGCTGGGTTTGGAGGCGGACGAAGTGGGAGACAGGAAATGATTGTTTGTAGCGTACAGAGTTTCAGCTGGAGAGGATGAAAAAGTTCTGGAGATGGAGGGTTACACAGCAATGTGAATGAACTTAATGTCACAGAACTGGCCTCTTTCAAGTGATTAGAATGATTAATTTCGTGTTATGTACATTTTACCACAATAAAAATATTCTGAACTAAAAAGGAAAACAGTGTCATGTGAGTGTTACCATTATCTCATGTAAGGTAGATTACAGAGGGTTTAAGAAATAAATGAGAGGCAAGGAAATGAAAGTACTGAGCCGTATCTACCACTCAGCAAAGTGTTTGGGAAAGGAATAGAGGACAGTAGTATGGAAAGACAGGGAGGGATGAGGAACTTCTGTTCTTTCAAGTACAGAGAGGATAGGGCTTTTTACAGGTGGCTTGGAGGGGCCAGCTCAGAAGGAAAAATTAAGGCTGTGAAAGAGGGATGCACAGGTGGAGTGATATTTCAAAGACTGCAGTGAGAGCCAGAGGGGAGGGGCTTGGTGGAGGAGAGAAGGAGTTTGGTTATAGCCTATGACTTTTTAAAGAATCTGCCAGATTGTTTTTGAAACTTCCAATTCTTATCCTTTTATTTCATGGCAGCAAGTATTAAAACACTTAAAAAAAACACCCCCTCAAAGCATCATTTAACCCATCTATCATTTATCTTTTCCTGAAAGAAGACACACACCTACTTCCACACTAAAGCTAATTTGTGCCAAAGGATTTTTCCTCCTGTTAGGTGACATACATACTTACAGTCTGAACTACAATAAATTTGGACCATGACCTGCCTAATTTAGGGAATAATTCTAATGACTTACTTAAGGTTCAGCAAGTAGCTTCCTTAATACTGGCTTTGGGAATAATTGGAGTAGATTTTACTGATTAATTGCATCTAAATTAATAGCATTAAAAATTCCAAAACTCCAAGATCAAATGTATTACCAGTTACATGCAAATTCACATTTAGATTTAGAAATACTTCTGGTGAAAAACAGAAATGTAGTAACAGCTATCGTCTGAACTACCTCCAAAAGTTAAGCCCTTGACAGGATTATTCTGAAACTAAGCCTGAAGACTTAAACTAACCAAATGGGGAAAAGAAATGAAAGCTCTCAGGCTTTAATTATTTGTATACTATCATCATTTTACTAAAATATATTTTAATTGGAGAGTTAAGATATTTTCACCTTCTTAGTTAACTCAAGCAAAATAAGTACAATTCTGCCTCTCAGTAATTTCACAGTCTTATGTTTACTGAACCGTGCTGTTTAGGTTAAATCCTCCAATTAATTTGCAGAACCATTCATAGTTGTTGAAATATGGTAAAACAATGTGAAGCTCTCTATTTTTTTGTAAAGATTTTATTTATTTATTTTTAGAGAGGGAAGAGAAAGAGAGAGAGAGACATCCATTGAGGTTGCTGGGGGCCGTGGCCTGCAACCCAGACATGTGCCCTGACTGGGAATCGAACCTGCGACGCTTTGGTTCACAGCCCGTGCTCAACCCACTGAGCTACGCCAGCCAGGGCGAAGCTCTCTATTTTTAGATATAAGTGGTCATTATATATCCAAATATTAGTTCAGGTAAAATAAATTTTATTGTAGATTCACAATTTAGAAAAAAACGCTTTTCATTGATGTGTTTAAAAAAATTAATGTCCACAAAATTCATCATTTGGTGCTCCTTTCATTAAGTAGGATGATAAGTTCTTTATTCTCGCTCTATGCTGCTAAGGTACAGGTCTGGGATGATCTTGCCAGGCTTAAAGTCCTAGTTAGCTATGAAAAGAAATTCAGATTCTAAGATACAGTTAGTAATTACAGTTAGTAATTATGGTTAGTAATACGGTTAGATTTATATTTTCTTTATATAACATTGTAGCAATTTCAGTAATGGACCCTAAAGATATTAGACCCTCATCTCTGGAGCATTTCCTGTATCTTACCTGCAAAATGGGTCTTTCCAGGTGTGATTGTGTTCACATTTTTGAGGTGGGGAGATTCTCCTGGGTCACCTGTTTCCCCCCTAACTGCCATCCCATGAATCTTCCCAGAAGAGATACAGATGACACACCCACAGAGGGGAAGGGCGTGTGAAGACAGGCAGGCTGGAGAGAAGGGGCCACGCGCCGGAGAATGACGGCTGCCATCAGAAATGGGCAGAGGCCAGGGCTTCCCCAGAGCCTCCGGAGGAGTGTCAGCCACCCTGCTGACACTTCGATGTTGGCCCAGTGATGTGGGCTTTGGACTTCTGCCCTCATGCGCTACAAGAAAATAAACTTTTGTTGTCTTAAGCTACCAAGCTGTGGTAATTTGTTATAGCAGGTACAGGAATCTAAAACAAATATACAGCAACAAATTTTCACACAGTCACTTTAATGCTGGGGGCAATTCTGATGCTTTCACAAAGAATCTGGGAAGGAATAATTAATGAGTTGAACCCCAACAATTCCATGGTTAAGGTGATATGCAGAACTAGTAAAAGAATGTTGCTTACAAGATGAATCAATAGAAACGGTTCCACTTGCACGTAATATTTCATTGGCCTGTTTGTAAGGCTAAAAAGAAATTTTACTAATGGCAGAGAAATAGACATCAATTGAGTATTTTAATCTTTCTTCCTATTGATTACTATAAAAATATTTTTGACAATATAAAAATAGCATGATCACATTAAATAACCTTTGCAAAATAAAAGGAGCAAACTCCTTTGTAAAAATCTCAGTACAGCTACTAGGATCATGTTGTTATCATCACTTACTTTCGGTTTCTTTTAAAATGGCAGTCATTCAGCTCGTACACTTTTTATGTTGATTTGCTCACTTAATGCATATGCAGCTTTTGCTATTGTTACTTAGTATTCATAACTATTATTTTAAAAGATAGCTTAAGTTGCTACTGGGTGGCTACACTATAACTCAAGAACCATTTTCAGAAATATTCAACATTCTATTTTTTTAAAAAAATTGTTTATTTTTAGAGAGAGGGGAGGTGGGGGAGAAAAAGAGGGAGAGAAACATCAGTGTGTGGTTGCCTCTCACATACCAGCTACTGGGGACCTGGCCCACAACCCAGGCATGTGGCCTGACTGGGAATTGAACTGGTGACCCTTTGGTTTGCAGGCTGGCACTCAATCCACTGAGCCACACCAGCCAGGACAACTACTTTCTATTTTTTTAAAAAAGAATTATGGATGTCACAATTCATAAATTCCCTCATTTAACATTACAGAAATTGAGACCTATCAACTTGACTTTCTTAATCTCAGCATTATTGACATTTTGAGCTGAATAATTCTTTGTTGTCAGGGACTGTCTTATGCATTGGTGAGTATTTTTAGCACCATCTCTTGGTTTCTATGCTACCTGATGCCAGTAGCTTCCCTCTCACAACCCAAAGTTTTCAGATATTGCCAAATGTCACCTGGCAGGCCAAACAGCCCCTTGTTAATAATCACTGCCATAAAAGCCAACATTGAAATACAAGTTTGGCGATTTTTATTCCATTTTCAATGGTCCTACTTCACCATTTCTATGGAAGTTTTGAACCCGTGGTGGTAAGACAGTTGCTTCATCTCCTGGTGTCATAGTCACATTCCTGGCAGGAAGGTGGGAGACTGTCAAATAATGTCAAATAATAGCTTGTCATTTTATTGAGAAGAGATGCCCTCCCCAGTTACTCTTCCTACATATTATTGGTTAAATGTGTCACATGGCCAGCTCTAATAATGAAAAAAAGCTAGTTCAAATTCATAGAACTTTAACAGTCTCTATGATAGAATTAAGGAGAAGGGTGTTGTGGATGATTTTTAGATCACCGAAAATATTTGCTAGATTCTCACCCCAGTTTAACCACTTTCCTGTGGCAGATAGATTTTGGAATTGGGAAGTAGCTAAAAATGTCTAGTCATATATATGTGAAGTCTTATGTGTGCTGTGATTTATCATCTGGAAAGTGCTTCAAAAATCCTTTCCAGCTGATTGATTTTGTGACTTCTCTAGTCTGTCTTCTCTGAATAAGGAAAGTATATTCATGTACAAGTAGTATCATTGAAAAGACCCAATTAATTTCAGCTGGAAAGGTCACTACTCCAAATCAGCAGTGCTTTTATCAGTTGTAATGAATATGCCTATCAATTCATATCACCCACAGGCCAACATTTAGAAGACATATTGGTTTCATTTCCCATCCAGCAATATGCAGCAGTGACCTGAAGTGCTAGGTGCTCACTGCACTGAAGATGAAGAGGCCAAGGACATACCTGATGTCCAGCAGGGACACCATACAAGCAGCAGCACAATTCACTAACTAAAAGTAGAACAGTTTGTTTCTTTATCTACCAAGTCCCTGAGAAATTTTGTGTAATTATGCAGCTTTCCATTTCCATTCCAAAGAAACACAGTCCTACCCTAGTTTTTGGGTTGCTTTGTGTCTCTCAAAAAAATGCACTGAAGTCCTAGCCTTGGGGACCCATGCCTTTATTTTAAAATACTGGAGTGTCTTGGCAGATGGAATCAAGTGACGATGAGGTCATTAGGGTGTATCTTAATCTTTACCGCTTGTGTTCTTAGAAGAGGAGACACAGAGACTTCCAAGGAAAACATCACCTGACTACTCAGACAGAGATTGGACCGAAAACAATAAGCCAAGAAACATCAAGGATTGTTAGCAACACCAGAAGCTAAGGAAACAGCATGGAGCAGATTCCTCCCCTGGAGCCCTCAGAGAGAGCACGGCCATGCCAACACATTGATTTCAGACTGCTCGCCTCCAGGACTTCATCTGTTGTTCAGAGGTACCCAGTTTGCAGTACTTTTTATTACTTATTTATTTATTTTTAGAGAGAGGGAAAGGGAGGGAGAGAGGAAGAGAAACATTGATGTGTGGTTGCCTCTCCCATGCCCCCTATGGGGGCTTGGCCTGCAACCCAGGCGTATGCCCTGACTAGGAATTGAATCAGCGACCCTTTCATTCACAGGCTGGCACTCAATCCACTGCGCCACCAGCCAGGGCTGTGGTACTTGGTTATGCAGCCCCGAGAATCTAATACACTAATAATGAAAAACAGTAACTACTTGCTGTTTGGGAAATCAGAAGAACTTTCTATTAGGCTCTTCAAGAAGTAACTTTACACAAATCCTCTATTTTTCAAAAATTCTCTTACTTCTTATTTTGAGTGGCCAATGTCCCAGTGTTAATTTCCTTTCTTTTGTATTTATCAAATGACAAGATCTTTTCCAAAATGAACCCCTTTCAGGAGGAAAGGTCAATGTGGTTCTGCTCTCAAAATCAAGGTAAAAGTGGCAGTGGGAGATGGAGACCCTACCCCCCTTTGTATGATTGTGGAGCATCGGGATGCCTGTGAGAGAGAAAGACTTGACCTAAAAGTGTATCAGAATGGAGCCTCAGAATGGATTGTGTCACAGTTGGGTATCTGTGTGAACTGGGGTTCTCTGAAAAGAAGACACCAAGCTAGGATTGGATGTGCAAGAAATGTATCAGGGGAAATGCTTGAGAAGGATAATGAAGGCTAAAGAGAAGGATCTGGAGAAGATAAGGGAGGCTTTGGATCACAGTGTTGATTCGGCTCCTGTGAAGAAGACAAATACAGAAGGAAATTCGGAAAGGAAGAGTCTCCGGCTTCAGCACAATTCCAAGAACCATTCAGCCAAGTCAATGGGGAATCTTGCAATGGGGCGGAAGAATCCCACATCCCAGGAAGGGGCTTGCACTCGGACCCTAATCATGCTTAGTCATTGCTAGGAGCACTCACAGAAAGTGTGGTCCAAGATCTAAGTGATGGTGGAACCAGAGACATAGCTGGACCATCAGTCAACCATACTCCCAGCAACAGGAGATGTGAGCAGTGTATTTTCATGACCATCGCTGTTCAAAACTAGAAAAAACTTTGGGTGTTGCTGGGAGTTTACAAGGCAGCTAGAATTTTTGAGCAATAAGGCAACTTCAGCTTAATTCTTTGGCTGGTCTCCGGAATAAGCTCACTTTGGCGGTGGCTAGTCAGAGGCAGTGTTTTTGTTTGCTTGCCTGGTGGTTCCAGGTACCTGACCACGGCTCATAGCTGTGTTTCTTGATACCAGCTCTTGACTATGCATCTCCCATTGAGAAGGACCCTTTGTGGTGTCAGGTCTCCGGTGAGCTCCAGGCTGGGCCGCAGAATGCCTAATGGTAGCAGTCCCTGACTGCAGGAGCTCCAGCCGTTGTCCCCCAGCCTCACAAGTGGTTCGATCCTGGCAAGCGATTCCTTAGCTTGCCTTTGCTCTCATGGTTCCCCTGCTTGGGGCAGTTCCTTCTCTGCACATTAAAATGCTGCCCAAACTACAAAGCTTAGCTTAATTCCACTGACCACTTCTTTTCCAGAATTCAGAACACATCATACAATCTGTTCATCATTCAATCAAGTGTTTCCTTGTTTATTAACTTTCCACGTGAGGCCTATCTTATCTCTCTAGTAATAAAGATGACGGAATCTTACATGCATGAGCCATGATATGTAAATTTCTATAGGGACAAAAATTTCAGAAAGACACTGACACCATTGATATTATTCGATAATGTCCAGTGAACACCTGCAATAACAGTGGGCCCAGTCACCCAATGACAGTGCCTGGCTCCCTGCTTGCTGATCGCATTGGTCATGTTTCCAGAAACTGATGAGTCACTGTGAGTCGGCATTACAGTATTCTGGAAGATAAAATGTGTTCCAAACTGTTTTGTAGTTAAAATAACTTTGCAAATACTAGATTAAAATTTTTTATTTTTCTCTGCGATCTATTTCAGCAACTGTGTTTAATATGTTCTTTGGCACTGTGAATTTTAAAAAGTTAACCAAGAATAGAGCATTTACCAAATTTCTTTGACTGCAGCACTTTTTGCTTTTTTTTCATGAAGCCTCTTGTGGGACTGGAAATATATATTTTTGGAAATGCTGGGTTAAATATCTAATGTTCCGAGGGGTGATATTTATTTTGGTGGAAAATTCTAGGAGACCAAAAAGACTTCACACTTTAAAAGAGTGACGCCCTCGCGGTGGAATTTCAGGCATTGAGAAAGTCAGGAAAGTTATGAAGAGGAGGAGAAACTATTTTGGCACGGTCTGATGTACCCTGCCTGATAACACTGGCCCTTCCAGTGACCTCATGGAAGTTCACAGGAGGAGCTCCCGGTTCGGAGCGTGTGGCTGTGAGGTGGACTGAAACCGAGTTGTTCTGTTATTCACCGCCTCCAGAGCTGAGCTCTCCTGTGAGACTTCTCATTGAGTCCAGAAGAGCAGTCCGGGAGTTTGCATGACTCCTCCATTCTCAGATATGATACTCTCAGTCTTTAGCCAATAGTCAGGGCACGCCAACCTTATCAAATCAACAAATATCCATTGAGCAACCAAAATGTGCAAAGTCCTAGGCTTTGTGTTTGTCTAAGGCTGGCTGCAGTTTCCCCGGTTCCTCCAGGGCAATCCCCATGAATAGGACAGATGTAAACTTGGCCATCCAATTATTTAATATTTAACCAAATGTCCTGGTCTTATTTGGAATGCAAATAGAAAGCAAAGTAATATCTTTGTTAAGTCTTCGCTAAAGCTATTTTCTTTTTAAGCTGTACCTCTAACTGTGTCATGCTCTGCCCCTGTAGCTTTCTAGTTCAGAAGAGTGTTGAGTAGTTCATTATCGAAAACTCCCTTCAAAGATGGGAGATGCGCCTGTGGAACACAGACTCTGAACTATTCGACTGTGAGAGTTAGTTTCCTGTAGATGAGCCACGGTCATTAAATGTTAGCAACTGTGGCTCGTATGTTTGTTTTCAATGATCAGTATTAAATAATTTTCACAGATATTTTTCTGGTAAGAATATGTTATTTCCCAACCTACCTTCTCTTTTGAAGACAACATTATCATTACTATTAATGTAATTCTCCTTTCCCAGGTCATATATAGCTTTGCTATATAGACATTATTTCACCAATATTGTTTGTTGTAAATTTTTCCAGATAGAAGGCAGACATAATTATCAATATTTAATGACACAGGGAAGGGAAATAATCAAGATTTCTTTATGCATTCATAATAGCCAAACTTATTAACTGGCCTTGGCAATGGGAAGGGTATCATCTTGCTTTTTTACCCACTGGGGCGGTATGTTGATTACTGAGCTGAGACTAGGCTCATCACCCTGGGATGTCCTGCTTGGTCATTTCTTTTAGTGTCCTGGCCTGGGTGTGTCCTGAGGAGGGAGGACCTGTGAAGTGGAGGTGGGTGTGTGGGCAGCTGCGGACAGTGGGGAAGACCACATGGTGTCCGTTCCCCACCCAGCCCTGGGGGCTAAGTCTGAGTTCTTGCAGGGGGAGTGGTTTAAAAAAAGCCGAAAGAACTGTTTTAACCTAAGGACTGGTGAGGAACCAGGAGACGGGTCCATTGCCTGAGAGCCCTGGTCAGAAAAGGAACTATATACATGCTGACTACAGGTACGGTTTGCCTTGGCTCGGCCCTGTTAAGTCTCCTGTGGTAAGGTCCTATTAATTAGAGGTCCCTTTTACTTTCAGAGATGTTCAAGTTAAGAAAATAAATTATGTATTCATCCACCACATGGAGCGAGGCAGAAGACAGATTCCCTCCCTGTGAGCAGGGAAGACACCGTGCAGCCCTGAGGTTGGGGTGCAGGTAAGGCAGAGACACTTTGGCCTCTCCCAGAGGGCCTAGGTGTGGTGGTCGGTGCCCTCCGAGGGGCTGCATGAGTGGTGGGCCTCGCTAAGGGGCTGCAGTGCTGAAGAACTTGAGTTGATTTGCTTGGGACACACGGGGAGGTGGCCTGGGGACTATCTGAACTACTGGGGAGAGACTTCCGCTGGGAGGGAATTTTTGTTATGTGACCTCACTTGATTTCCAGGCTGGTGAGGCAGGTGGAACCTAATACACGGACTGGCAGTAATTATATGTGGAAAATGAGAACACTAATTAATTCTAAGAATGTATGTATTTAATGGAGGCAGTAACTGCTGGGAATGGGTGAGACTCAATCACAGTGCGTCTTAAGTAGTTAAATGGATCTAAATAATGCCAAATCCCTTATCAAAGAGTGGAGTTGAGCAATCTATCAGGCCCCATCTCGGTCTTTTCAAGCCCCATGGCTCCCGTGTTGGGTGGTCACTCAAAGGTTCTCACAGGGATGACACAGACGAGGGAGGTGACTAAGTTTGCTTCCAGGTGTGGAGCAAACAGTTTGAAAGTTTGAAAATAACCATAGCTCATTTTTGACTGATTAGCTCATGCTCTCACTGTAATATGATCGTGTCTGTCTGATTTATTTTTATTATGTTATATAACCCAAAAGTTGCCCAACACAGGAATAAAGAGAGAGAGAGAACTGCCATAGTGGTTTATACGTTATTTTTCTAGGGATGGTTTCATGTTCTGTGGGTTCTCAGAGAACTGCTTTAAATGGCCTCATGCTTCATCATAAAAAGGGTTAAAGACAAAATGATTATCCTCATTTTTGGTTTTGGTGATTTAACTTTTGGATTAAAAAAGGCCTTTGTATTAGTGTCCTGAATAAGTCAATGTATAGAAAAACTGAGCCAATCTCAAAAAACCAATGTACTTCCCCAAAATAAACAATCCCCCCACTTTCTTATTGGCACTTTTCCTTACAATACATTAATAAAAAGTATTTTTCTGCTTTTCTACATTTTTGTGCATAATATTCGCTTTACAAAAGAAGGGCACTAAGTTCTTTTAAGCATTTTATGTTCCACAGCATAGTAACAAATAAATACAGATAACTGTGAATGCCCTTTGCATTAATGTACTTCATATTGTATTTTTGGTTCTCAGAGTATTGCTTTTGAATATTCTGAATTATTCTACTTTTGAATAATCTGCTATTTTATCTTCCTAATGTTTTTGTATGTTGAATTTTTCCATACTTGGATATTATATATCTATATTATATTTTAATTTCATAATGTCCCAAATAAAATTATTATTCATTGTATCATTTTTTCCATTGTAATCTAAACATTTTTAAAAAGGTTTTATTTATTTATTTCTAGAGAAGGAAGGGAGGGAGAAAGAGAGAGAGAGAGAAACATCAATGTGGGATTGCTGGGGGCCATGGCCTGCAACCAAGGCATGTGCCCTGACTGGGAATTAAACCTGCGACACTTTGGTTCGCAGCCCACGCTCAGTCCACTGAGCTGCGCCAGCCAGGGCTCATAATCTAAACATTTTTTAAATAAGAAAAACAAATCAGTGAAAATAGTTCCTTAGTGTTGACTGAAATATTGGGGAGTAAAAATTATCTGACCATTGAGTCTTTTTAAAACAATTATAAAAGAGATATAAAAAATAGAGGGCACTCAGGCAACCACATGCTGATGTTTCCTTCTCTTTCCCCCTCCCTTGCCCTTTCTAAAAATACATGAATGAAATCTTAAAAAAAAAAAAGAGAGAGATACAAACCTCAGGGTTTTGGCTTTTCTTACTTACCTAAAGTAACCTGCTCAGCTCTGCTATTTAACACCTTCTCTTTTTACCTTCTCCAGGGCCTTCCTCCATGAGATGCTTCTTTCTCCTGAAACTGTCAACTCTCTCTTGCTGGCTCCTTCCCTTCCACCTACAAACACCATCAACACTGCCTTATCTACAAAAACAAGCGAACAAAACACCGTCACTTTGCCCACAGTTCTGCAACTTCCTTTACTGCCAAAAACCTCGCAAAATCTACCTTTGCCTACTTTGCTTCCATAACCTCTTTCTTCTCATATGGCTTGCTCAGGCCTCAGCTGCCTCTGATGTCTCAGAGTTCTCTTGCAACTGTCAAGTCTCTAAAGCCTCTGAGTACCCGGTGATTTAACCACATTCTTCCTTTCCTGAACCTCTGTTGTTCTCCTTTGACTGCTGTGGTGTGGCCCTGTTTACAATCACTGGACCACTATGGACCATCACCACTGCCCCAAACGTAATACAATGTGTTCATCCAAACTCTAGCTCTTTATTTTGGAAAAATAATAATTTACCTATCTAAACATTTAACATCAGGATATAGCAAAAATGTCATAAGGTTTCCTGCTTTTGAACATTTTCATGAACAAAGTTCCCAGTGGTTAAGCTGAAGCCAGCAAGGTTTTAGCTTTGCAGCTAGCTGGTACCTTAAACCCAAGTCCCTAGAGTATCACAGACCAGAACTTCCAGTGATTCAGTGGCAGAATTGGTACACAACTATAGGGAGATGGTATAATTTTAATCATCCCCTGAACATTCTTAACTGTTATTAAGAACAGAGACATTAAGTTTTAAATGAAGCCTCTCTGACTGATGCCAGCTGAGTAATAAGGCAGTGTATCCTCTTAGAAACATCTTCTAATTGATTTAAAGGTTAAGAGCTACTTATTCTTAATACTTCTGATCCTCTGCAGATTGTCTGCCGTCGGCAGCCCGGGCACTCACACACTCTGATGTGCTTCAGTGCTATTTCAGCACAGTCTTCCCTTGCTCTCTTCTCCTCCCAGGTGGATATTGACATGGCTTCACATCATATTTACTCAATAAGCATTTATTGAACACTGACTATGGGTAGGTCTTGTACTAGTTACTGAGTATATGAAGACTAATAAGGCAACCTTTGTTCTAGCACATGGTCCATTAGAGGAGAAAGAGGCACAACAAAATATTCATAAAACACTTGAAGTGACACTTTTGTCTGCACAGTACATGTCTTTGAAAAAACAACTATCCCATCGCCCCATGTTTTCCTCATGGAACTCAGAGATTGGTCCAAGGGAAAGAACGTGAACCAAACAATTCCAATCAGTGCCCTTTCATAACATTTAATATATGAATACCGCCCTGGCTGGCATAGCTCAGTGGATTGAGCGCGGGCTGCAAACCAAAGTGTCACAGGTTCGATTCCCAGTAAGGGTACATGCTTGTGTTACACAGGCCATGACCCCCAGCAACCGCACATTGATGTTTCTCTCTCTTTCTCTCTCTCCCTCCCTTCCCTCTCTAAAAATAAATAAATAAAATCTTTAAAAATATATGAATACCAGGAGACAAGGTTTCTCCTTTTGGATTACAGATTTGGGACTGCTCTCATACGAATAGGGCTAGCCTGAGGGTGAGAATAGCAGACAGAGGGAACTGTAATTCACAGACAGAAAGAAACCTGGTCATCATGACACCATTAGATCACTGACATCCAGCCATCCCTATCCTGGCTTCTGTGAACTGCCGGGAGTTCAGGCTAAAACAATAACATAATAACACACTGAGAGAGCGTACATGGGCATTATGGAGTCGCAGACACTGACACCTGATCTAGAAGGATAAGGTCAGGCTCAATGGAGTCAGCAAAGTGTTCCTGAAAAAAGTGTGTAGCCTGCTTCGGATAGAATGTGAGACTCTCAGAATATGATGTCCAGAAGCACCAACATCCCCTAAAATATGCTGATGCACACTCAAAAGCCACATTTATTTTAATCATAAACAGACATAACCAACTTGATCAGTGAATAATCTGGAAAGTTTACTTCATCAGCAATAGTGCATCTGGAAGCTGATGCATCACAGGTAGAATTGTTTATTTACTAAGTGTCTAAAACACAGATTTGTTCTGGGGTTCTTTGGACCCAACAAAATCTCTGCAGTCCAACATGTAGCAGGACTTAAGATTTATTTTATGCTCCTCATAGCTCCCTGCACTTCACCTTCATAAAACTAGTAAATAGCAGGTGCTGAATAAGCCAAGGAAAGCACTTTCGACAATAATTTTTAAAATAAATCATTATTCCCACAGTGTTTACGAGGTTTTGAGGATCCATTGTCAATACTGACAATATAATGAATGTGTCCAAAGGGCATAATATTTTATTGCTTCCCATTTAAAGCCTCAGCCCACAACACTCTTAAGGTCATGCACCATAATTACTTTACATTAATAAGTAATTCACAAAATTAATGTGCAAATAAACACATGATGCATAACCAAGTACGTTAATAATGTATAGAAAACATTGAGCTTGTGGAATCTGCACCTTTCAGTTACAATTTTTTTTCCTTAGTATATGAAAAAGTCAGATTTATGTTCCACTTTTATAGGTTAATTGGTGAACAGGATAGAAAACTACAGGAAATTGTAAAATCTTCATTTAGCTTTTCTTCTTAAGGAGGATTATGCCATCTAGAAAATCATGAAACATTCTGTCGCCTGAGCCGCCTTTTGGCTGAAGAAAAGCTCCGTGTAGGAGGCAACTCCCCCTGCTGTGATGTCTGGGAACAGGAGAACAGAAGTCTGTGGTTAAGGGACGCTAGCACGTGGAGGCTTTCACAGAATTAATAGTGCTGAGATACTTGTCTTTTTATACCAGGACCAGATGAGGAAATGCTCTCATGGTCAATGTTGTGTTGCTGGAAAGAAACAGAAGCAATCTTCGCTGTCTTGAATGTGCAGCTTTATCAGCTACTTTGAAGAGTTCTTTACGTAGAATGTTGCTTTCCATTTTACTGGACCACACAGTGCCTTTTCCTTCTGCTTCAGCCTCAGTTACATTTAATTGTGTGAAAGCTTTCCACCTGGCTGGCAGAGCTTCAGGATAAACCAGATTTTCCAAAGAACATCGGCTTTTGTGTACTGAAAAAGATTGAATTATTTCAAAATTGCATCTGTTGTTTTTACTAGCAAGTGTATATATTGTAATGATTTTTAAAAAGATACTGTTTCTGAACCACATACGGAGTCAGTAAACTACCTGAACTATATTAAGAATAAAATGACAGAGATAAACAATGGGTTGTACAGTACAATGGACTCAGTGTCTGTGGTATTCAATTGATAAGAACGTTCGGTTTCTAAACAATAGGCAATGCAGGCATCTGTGTTCTTCAAAAGCTTTAAACATGTTTATCTTGGATGACACCACACTTGGACAACGTACAGAAGACATTTTTTCTTCTGAGTTTTCTTTCTAATTATACGGGCCTCATGCGTCTGGTTTCTTGTGGATTGAGTCAGTAGAGGGAGCCAGAGTTACCCAGCCAGCGGTCCTGACCCAGGGAGCTTCAAATAGGCAAGAAAAAGGGATGATGCCTGCAAACCTCCTTTGTGTCACAGACAAATAGGAAAAGGCGCAGTCAGAGTAGCAGAGTCAGATATGGCAGCACTCTTATTAAGCGTTTTGGTGTTCCATAAAGAAAAGACTTACCATCTGCAAGTGGGATCTTTATGATTTCCCATTGTAAAGGGCAAAATGTGCAGTTTATGCAAATGAGGCATTGCATAATCTATATACCCTCTCTCTATATAATCTCTATATAAAATCTATATATATATAGTTTTCCTTGGAAATATGAGTTTGTGGAAACTGTAATTGTCATATTAGGCACTAATGTACCAGTTAGTGTACAGAAGTGGTAAACTGCTAGATTTTGCCATAATTCTCGCTGTTCCCTAAGGAAGCAATTGTTTTTTCTCTTCGGGATGCCTGCATTAGCCCCCTGACAGGTCTTTGTGCTTCTCAGTCCCTTATACTCTGCTTTCGACCTGGGAGGCAGGGTGATCCTTAACAAACATGCCACTCTGTTCAGAGACCTTTCAGAAACTTCTCAACTCCGAGAAAAAGCCAACATCCTTACAGTGGCCTCAGAGACCTCCATCCTTCGGTTCTTTTCAGTTCTCTGACTTCATCACCTGCTGCTCTTCCTCTGGTACCTCTGCTCCACTCAGATGGCCCCTTGTAGTTCCTTACACACTCAAGTCCATTCCTACCTTAGAGGCTTCGCAGTAGCTGTTCCCACAAATTAATGTTGTTCCCTCAGGCAAACCCCAATCTCCTAAGTCTTTGCTCAAATATCGTCTTCTTAATAGACCTAGTTGTTCTTCCTAGTTCTTCTCACCAGGATCTATTTTCTCTATAATACTTAACAACTTTCTAAACTACTATACAATTCACTTATTTACTATGCTTGTTATTTCTTCTCTGTCTCTGGGAACTGGAATTTAAACTCTGAGGGTAAGAAATGAAAACAAATTTTCCAGATGATTGCATATTCACGTAGAGTTGTAAGAAATAGTAGGAAGAGATCCTTTGTGTCTGTCGCCCAGTTTCCTCCAGTGGAAGCGTCTTACAAAACAGTAGTGCCATCTGACAAGAGAAAACTGACAGTGATACAGGTCAGTCAGCTTATTCAGATTTCACGGATTTTACATGAACTCATCTGTGTGTGTATTAGTTCCAGGCAGTTGTATCATGTGTGAGCATTTGTGTGACCCTTACCATAGTCAAGAAACATAACAGTTTCCTTGTAAGGAACAAGACTAAAATGCTTTGTTTGTTTAAATCATTGATGTATTCCAATGGCCTGGCTCAATAAATATTTGTATAATAAGTTAATCAAGTTATTTTAGCAATAGAACTTATGTAAAATAAATAATTTAGTAGCATTAGGTTCCCAAGTAATTTGAAATCATACTCAACTTGGTGTCTTTTTTTGGTTGTTAACTGAACATGTATTTATTAACATGATTCTTTTAGAATACATACACATTACTCTCTTCTTTCTAAAGTGCTAGGTAGTTAGTGTTCTTGGGGAATACAACAAATATGTTACTGATAAGCTAACCATATTTTGACCACGTACATATCAGCTGTCTCGTCATCTTACCCCTCTTCTCTGAAGGAATTTGTTAATGCAGTAAAACTGGTTCAGAACAAGGCTGGTTCCACAGGGACTACAGTCTGACCACTATTTCCTACCTAATTTTTTGTTGTTATGTGGATTCACTATAGCAACAGTAATGGTTGCTCAGTTTCATTTAATTGTTAGTTTATGAAACGGCTGACTGAATTGCTTAGTCTGGAAATGAGGGAAGTTTTCATTTCTGTAAAGTTTCTGGGCACGTTCAGGCGTCAAACTCACATTTTTAACTGTACTGAACACCACGATACGGTAACAGGAGGTGGCTGGGGTAGATAACCCTGAAAAGGCCTTCCACGTTCAACACATTCTATCAAGGTGATTCTCCCACCAGTAGATTAAATGAGCCTTAACTCCTTACCAGACTTTTTACGAAATAATAAGCTCTCTTTTTCTCATGTCTCATATGCAAGATTTGAAGATTAACAATCTAAAAGCAATGTAACTTTTTATAATTTTTCCTAGGATTTCATACCCCTTGTAGTTTTGGACAACATTATTTACTTGATCAGAAAAAAAAATAAAACAAGAAATGAGAGCCCTACTAAACTTGGAATGCATCTCTCTCTACTTAGATACTTCTGAAGTATTTTTTTTTTGTTCGGAGCTACAGACACAGAAATTTTGATCAAGTCTAAACTAATTTTTAATAACTTTGATTTTTCATTTAGATCATTAGCCTCATTAGCAAAAGTAGAATGTTAGAGAAAAATGTAGCTAAATCACGTGGGATTAAAAGAATATAAGGTCAATAGTCTAAAACTATTAAATGAAGAAATTGAAGACAATACTTGGTATCTAGCTGGGAAAGGGTTTCACTAGCTGATGTCTGAAATGAAATTATAAATAAAATCAATAGGTGTGATTAAAATGTAAAGGTTTACATGAAAAAACCCATATATGTATGTATTAGCTATGTGTGTGTGTGTGTGTGTAACCATCAACGGGGAAATATTCAAAACAAATAGATAAAAAGTTAGTATCTTTAATGTATGAAGCAGTCTTCTGTGCCTTCAGTACTATTTCAAGTATTTTACATAGTTTATTTTACATGGCAACTTGTAAATACATGTCCAAAGTCTTAAAAATACTAATCATTTTTGACCAAGTAATTGTATTTCTGGGGCTCTACTCTAAGTCAGTAATTACAAGTGAAGAAAATGATTTATTTAAAAAAGGTATTCTTTATACCAAAACAAGAATAGTCAGACATGACAGCCTACTTATAGAATGAGATTTTATACAGCTATTAAAATCATATTTAAGAAGGGTTTTGAATAAGCAAAAAATATATATGACGTATAAAATGTCATATAATTTGGTAACAACTATGGAAAAAATAAGTGTAGAAAGAGTTTGGAAAGAAAAATACAAACTACAAAGTAGCTGCCTTTCAGTAATTTGGGGGGGAGAATGCTTAGATAATTACATAAATTTAGATAATTACGTAAGCTATAATTACATAATTTCCCTAAATTATACAATCTTTCATTGCTTTTATAATAAAAATCCATAAAAATACTTTGTTAGTTTAATAACTTAGATTAAAGGCTTTAGTTACAGGTTTGCATGAATATGAAGTCAGAGCTTCATTTTAAAATTTTTCCTAAATGGTTAGTAAAAATCAGTAACAACAGCAACAACACATCCATGACATTGGTATTTTTATTTTCTTCATTTTATAAATGAAACCAAGGCACAGAAGTCAAAGCAACTCTTCCGAGATCACAGAGCAAGTGAACGGGAAAGCTGGAATTCCTACCAACGCCCGTGTTCTTTGCTGCCATGGTATGCATTGCCAGGACTGATGTGGAAGACATTAAGCCCAACGCACTGTATTGGCATCGGAGGACTCGTCTTCATATATCAGCTCATGTACCACTTCTTAGCTGCTTGACCCTGGTTAATTTACTCATGTAAACTATCAGTTTCCCAATCTAAACTTAATAGGCATAATAATATTCATTTCAGAGGAATTTAGTGATATAAAAGGATATATAACAGTATTTTGTAAGTATTTGACATTCATATTTATACGGGTGATAAATGCATATGGTATCACTTAAGTATCTTTAAGTGATATTAATAGATCAGGGAGACAGTATACCTTTACCCTAGCTCTCCATCTTTTTCCTTTTCAGTTCTAGCTAATGCTGTTTTAATCATTTCTTTATTCAACCATAATCCCCACGTTTTCATTTTAAGTTTTCTGCTGATAAAAGCAGTTAACACTCATTGCCAATCAGTTTACCATCATGTTTCCAGGCATGTCTGGGTTGGTTGAAGTGTGCCCTCTAACAATTTTTTAAATTAATTAATTTTGTTTTCCAGCTCTATTGAGATATAACAGACATAATTTTGTGTAAGTTTAAGGTGTATAGCATGATGATTTGATACCTATGTATATTGTGACCTAATAATTTTATAAAGAGCTGATGGAAAGTATATTCCTTGGGTTCTTGCATATTTAGAAATTGCTTTCAATGGCCTTTGTACTCGCATAATGGTTTGGCTAGGGCGACAATGCCTGGGTCACTTTCTTCTCTTGTGGTCTTTGAGGGCACTCCTCCAGTGTTATTTAGAGTTGAATATAACTTTGTAGGTATCTGAGGACAGCTGGCTTGTTTTCTTGTCGTGTGATATGACCATTATGCCTACTATTTCAAGGGATTCTTTATTTTAGAATCTAAAAATTTTGCTAGGGTATATCTCAGTGAAGCATTCTGGGCCTTTTTTGTTTGTTTATTTGGGATACAATAGGCCATTTCAGTCAGTAGAACCAACTCTTTTCTTTCCGAGTCGTTTTCTGGAAGTTTACCCTTAAGTATTTCTTGTTCTCAATTTTTTTTATTGGGAACACTAATTGTGTACATAATTATGTCTATTATCTATCTTTTGCTCATGTATAGTCATAATTTTCCTTCTAAAATATTCTTAATTATTTCATTTCTCTACATTTCATGTTCTTTGCCTTTCTCCCTTCTGTTCTGTAAGACTCGCCATATTCTCACCTGCTTTCTGTATGTTTCGTGATGCCATTTCTGAAATAGTTTGATCTTTTCTTGCTTGAGTTCTGCCAGCTCATGTTTCATCTCTTTTTGTTACCTCACCATTCTGAGCTCTTATATATCAATTAATCTTTATTTAATTAAAAAATTGCACCAATATGCTTGATTGCCTTTTAATCTATTTCCTGGCAACTGTTGTTTTGTTTTGTTTTCGTTTTCTTACCCTTTATTTTTTGCTATTCCTGTCCTCCATTTTTTCTTATATTATTCTGTGCCATGTCTGTGTCGGTTCCTTTTTGATTTTTATTTATATACAGATCGGGTACAATATTGCAGGCATTTTCTATATGCCTCGAGATTGGCACATGTGAATTCTTGTAGCCTCTGTCCTCCACAGAGCCATCAGGATTCGCACACAGGGCTGATGATGAGGCGGAGGAACTCGGTTCCCTCTGCCTCTCTTAGGGTGTAGTTTATTGTCCAGCCCTGCCTACCCTGCTCCTCAGAACCACTCTGGGGATAGACCAGCTCCCACCACCAGATCTCTTACGCTTTTCCTGATACCATGATCAACGTGTGGCTTGTTTTTAAAACCATCTTTTATTTTAAAAGGTAAATTCTGACATCATTTTCTGAGACTGTAGACCCGTGGAAATGTCTTTTTTTTACATCTTCCAACACACCTGTTTGACCTTTACTGTTTTTGGTAGCCCTTCTGCTTTTATGTCCTGATCTGGGGTTTTATTTATTTTTTAAATTCACCAAGTATACACTTTGCATTTTGTTTCTTGTTCTCCTTGTGGGTATTGGGTGATTTCTAAGAGGGAAATGGGAAAAATCCAAATTTATTGAAACTGGGAGTCTGGTTGTAAACATAAGCAATTGCTTTTTGTTTGCATTCAGAAAATAATTGTGGTAAGTCATAATGGATCCAGAGGAGTTTTTGGAGTTTTGACTTGTTCTTGAGCTGTTCCAAAAAGAACCAGCTACACTTAACATGTGTCTGCTTTTTGTTACTAATTAGTTCCTTTGACTTGTTCCTTGGATAATAATTTCCTGGTTTTCTAGGCATTTATTTTCTTTCAGTTTCTTTTCATTCCATGGTAAGTTTGGATAGCGTGCTTATTTCATGATCAGTTCACTGGGAATAATTGGAATGGGGAATAGAAGAGCTGTGGACAACCATTGAAAACGAGGCACAAAGGAAGCATGTGGCCTTGATTTCTGCCACTGCCAGACTAGGACAGAAGAATAGATGTGTGTGAGGAACACATCTGAACTGTTTTCAGTGGAAACCTTGAAGATTTGGGCTCAGGTATGCTGGGCATGAATGTTCACAAACTTAGCAATACAAAAGTTTGCAAGCCTAGAAGTAGAAAATCTTTTCCTGGCCGGTGTAGCTCAGTGGATTGAGTGCAGGCCTGGGAACCAAGGCCTGGGAACCAGTTTGATTCCCCCTCAGGGCACATGCCTGGGTTGCAGGCCAGGCCCCCAGTGGGGGGTGCCTCAAGAGGCAACCACACACTGACGTGTCTCTCCTTCTCTCTCTCTCTCTTTCCCTCTCTCTAAAAATAAATAAATAAAACCTTTAAAAAAAGAAAGAAAATCTCAACATCAAGAATTTTTTATGAGAGGTAGAAAGGGGACAAATGGTTATGGAAAAGATACAATAAAAATAAATTTTAAAAAGTATTTATTTTACAAAAATGTCAAAATAATCATTGAAAGACATTAGACATGAATTTCCCATTTATATATTATGTTATTTAGGTACTTTGGCATGGACACTACATGCCAATCTTATCTAAATAATTTATGTACATCAAAACCCAGAAATCAAAGGAAATTATCTGGTATATGATATTTTTAATGTAAATAAAAATTACTCTTGTTTTTTATTTTGAAATAACTACCTGAACCTTTTTATTCATCTAAGATCAATTTGTGGGCTGCTCTCGGAAGGAAGTTTCCCTAGAGAAGGCCGCTCTTTGCCACGGGGGCAGATCCGAAGGAGGTCTGGCCGGGCTCTGTCCTTGACCTCACGCAGGGGCAGCAAGCCCTTCCACGAAGCGGATTCTGGGAGAGCATCTCCGTGGCTACCATGGTTAGAAATATGAACCTGCCCCGGTCCTCCGGCAAGGGCCCTGGCACAGCGGCACGTTCTTAGTCGGCCTTTTGAACTGTGAGGTTTCTTTATCCTTAGATGTAGCTCGATCCCTAATCACCCTCCAACCACCTTTTCTCTGGCTCCAATCATTCAGAGCTCGTTGCTACCAGCATGAAGGGCTCTTGGCCTTTTCTAATAATGTGTATAAATTCCAACTTTGGCAAAAAAAAATCACATTTTCCTTACGGTGGCTTTGTTGTCCTTGCTATAACCTACAGCTCTTGACACTTCCAGCACCGTCACGCTTACCTCGTGTTGGTGCTGATTATTTAACAGTTGCTCTTCCTAGGGTTAAGGATGGGACCTTCTTCGTTCATTAAAATTCCTAACACCTATAGGACTAACTATTTATAGCAGGAATAAATTATAGTGTGTAGTTAATAAAAACTCTTTATAGTGAAATAGAATAGCTATTTATAGCATGAATAAATTATAGCGTATAGTTAATAAAAACTCCTGACCTCCCTAGAGACATGATCAAGACGCAGTAGAGAGTGAAGTTTAAGAGCACAAACCTTGGAACCAGGTATGATTGTGGGCACATTTCTTATCTCTATGTAACTTAGTTTCCTTATCTGTAACCAAGAAGAGACAAACAGTGTTCACTTTGTAAAGCTGACTTCAGGACAAAATGAATATGGTGTATTTAGGACAGAATGTGGCACAATGTGTTGTTATCGCTATTATTATTATTATTACTAATGTTGCTGTTATCATTATTTGGCAGAAAGGAACAAGGGATGGAAACTGCAAGTTTGATGAGTCTTATGAACATAAAATAAAATTCAGTCTAATACTGACTCCTAAAAAATAAGAGACAGATGTTCTAAGTACGTGGCATCTGAGAACATCAAAGAATTCGTTTGGTCATAGATAAGGAAAAATGTTTTATAAGTAGGTGAAAATAGCTTTCAGGGATAAACAGATTATTTGATGAATCCTTTCCCAGTCATCTGGTAATTACCATAACTAAACGTCACAGGCAGCAGAGACAGTTTCAGACAAAATTTAGTTTTCAAGGTCTTTAATCCTACAATTCACCATCTACTAAAATCTATCTCACAGTTTCTTTCTCTTTTAACTTTAAAGTGATTTTAATTATGAAGTACTTGACATGTATATAAAAATAAAAATAATATGCCCTCTCCTTTAAAAATTATTCTTTTACTAACTTTTGCTCAATTGGCTTCAGGTCTCAGGCTGTCATTGTCTCCCTCCTTCTCTCCCATACAGTCTCCCGCCTACTGAGTGTACTTTCATAACCACCCAAGCATTTCAGTTTGGATACAAATGGGTGCCTTATGAAGCAGGTAAAAGGACACATGTACCTGTCCTTCATTAAAACATTTCTGTAGATTAGCCTAAAGAAAAATAATCAGGCCTAAATCTAAAGGGGAAGATTGGTGGACATTTTCCCTTTATGCGACTTAATTTTAAGGAAAACATATCTATGCCTGTTTCAATAAATGATGCTAAAGTTTCTCGGATCCCAGAATTAAAACTATACTTCTTGGCTGAAATGGGCTTGTTGAGCTAGCCTGGAGAATGTTATTATTTTTACTGTATTCTATAGAGAAAATGTTTTCCAATTTATGATCTTTTAAAATACAACCCATTTTTACATTGAATTTATCTATACAGTGGTTTCTTTACAATTGTACATAAAAAGTTTTTACTATAAAATTGAGTTAATGTATAAAATACTGCTTTATTCCATAATAAAAATATTAGTACTTGTTAAAAAAAATTTGTCTTATGTCATAGGACTTGTATATATCTCATTGATTCTCCTTCTGCTTCCCTAAGATTTTATGGCACCAACTTAATAATTAAGATTGCATATCATAGTCGTTTTCCTTCCCAACTTAATCTAAAGTTTTAATTGACAAGGAATATTTCAAGTCCTGTTTCAAACCCACTGGCTTCTAAATAGAGTTTTAAATTCCTTTAACACTTACCTGCAGGAAGGGGAAGGATCCTGTGGGGGTCCAGTGGCAGTTGCATCTACCTCTGCCTTAAATATCTTCACCTGACTTGAACACTAGTACACGTTCTTCACCTCTGAGATAAACTCTGATACGTTCTTTACATTTAAAGAAAAGAAAAAGATCACCTTTGGTCACCTAAAAGATGGAAAGAAGAACTTCATATTGCTGTGGATAATTGAGTCTTGTTGGCCTTCTCTCATTAAAACACCAATATCATAACATTCTAGCCAAAACTTTCCTCTTACATAGTGGGTAAGTGAAACATATAATTATTTCAAAACTTTAAGACTGGGAAATGTCATGTTCCTTGCAAACCATCAAACATTGATATAAAAGCTCTATAGTCAAAGTGAAAATATTAACTTTGGATTCTGTAATTTGGAAACATTCTTAGGGTTGCCTTGATGATAAACACAAAGCATTACTAATCTAGCCATTTGAAAATTAGTCAAGCCTCTTCTAAAATCTCAGGGCCCTTTCCATCAGAAGAAATGGGTTACACATTTATAGGTAGAATCAATGAAATAAATGTATGAATTGTGAGCACAGATGGTCTATTTATTCATTCAACAAATATTTACTAAGCACCTATTGTATTCAAAGCACAGTCTATATGCAAGGGATATATTAGGAAACCAAACAGAAAAATTAATTCTTGTCCATATGGAGCTTATAGTCCAATAAGGGGAGATTGATAATTAATATATTAGATAATCATATGTTTTCCTCTAGGCAGAAAGTGAAATTTAACTAGAGTAGGGGTTTTGCCAGATGAGTACAAAGAAGAGAAGGGAAAAAGATTTCAGAGTATATACAAAGGGATTCCCCAAGGCTTGGGCATAGAACTGAATATTCTGGGTGCAAAGAA